CGGCTGCGCCGCGCTGCCCGTGCGAAGTGCGGCGGACGCGACTGGCAAGCCCCTCGCGGCGGCGATGAGCGCCAAGAGGAGGGCGGCACACCCACGCGTCTGAAGCAAGCGCGCCGGCATGACAGAGGTTTGCTCGATTTCTTTTCCATCGATTTCCAGGCGGTCGTCACCGGAGGTCGTCCAACGAGAAAGAAAAACATACCTAAAACTAAGAAAGAAACACCTCGAGTCGCGCTCCTCTCTCCGCTGTTGCCGCTCGCACGGGACTCCGCCGCGGCAATGAGCGACCCGGACGAGCTGTCGGCCGCCGACAAGCCACGCAAGCGTCGAAAATGGGACGAGTCGGTGTCGACAGAGGCCGGCACCACCGCCGATGCCGCCGCGCCGGATGCCGAGGCCGCCCCACGCAGCCGCTGGGCGCCCGCCGACGCGCCGCCATCGGAAGGCCGGCCTCTGACCGCCGTCGAGATTCAGCTCGTGGAGGCGGCGGCAACCGCCGTCGCGCGAGGCGGCACCGCTGCCGAGGCCAACCTCCGTGTCAACCCCACTTTTGCGCCAATCTTTGAGCCGGGATCGAAGATGCATGCGCTGTACGGGGAGCGGGTCGCAATGCACCGGACGGTCGCGCAGCGTGTTGCGTCGCTCCAGGCCAAGCCGGCTATCGCCGCCGCGGCCGCCGCGGCCGCCGCGGCCGCCGCGGCCGCCGCGCAGCATGCGGCCCAGCCGGGCGGGTCCTTTGTCAGCACCGGCGGCGGCGGGCGTGTCTTCTACCCGCCCAGCGGCGGCGGCATGCTGCCCGTCTCCTCCGGCATGCTGCCCGTCTCCTCCCTGCCCATCTCCTCTGCGCCTCCCGCCCCTGTGCGCGGCGCGCTCCCCGTCGCGCCAGAGGGAGGCGGCTTCTCTGCCGCGCCCGGAGGCATCGGCCGCGTCTTCTTCCCGCCTCCCGCCTCCGAGCTGGCCGGGCAGGAGGAGGACGCCTCTCGTGTGCCCGAAAGAGGGCGCCGGCCCCGGGGCCCGGCGCCGGCACCCGCGCCCCCGGTCGGAAGAGGAGGGCGGTTTTTCGGAAGGATGCTTCCGGAACCGGGCCCCCGCCGCCCGGAGGAAAATGCCCCCCCCGCCCGTGGCCGGCTCCCGGCTTGGGGCAGCCCGGAGTGGAGCTTGTAGAAAAACCCCCTCACCCCCCCAGTACCCAGAAGTTGGAATGGGGCGGGGTTTTCTCCAATCGGGAACGGGGCCGCTTCCT